ATGGGCTGTCGTCAAAGAACTATACCGTTTTGCTCCACATTTGCCTCATTCTTCAGCCGAGCTTTTGATCAAATAAGAATGGTATGTGACGGGGGGTGGGGGTGGGGGCGGGGGTTGAAGGGATGGGAAATGTTTGTGTTTTCTAAAATAAGTAAATTTCTAATAAAACTTTGCATTTTTCTAAATTGCTTTCTATCTCAGGGCGCCATATCTCAGGCTAATATCAAATGTGTTGGCTCTCATTGCGGGGTTTCCATTGGAGAGGACGGACCCTCACAAATGGCTTTGGAAGACATCGCTATGTTTCGGTCAATACCTTCTGCGACTGTCTTCTATCCATCGGATGGCGTCTCAATGGAAAGGGCTGTTGAGTTGAGCGCACAAAATGTCGGAATCGACTTTATTAGAGCCTCGAGACCTAATTTTCCGGTTATCTATCAACCAAACGAAGTCTTTGCCGTTGGAAAGGCTAAAGTAGTTTTGAAGTCAGACTCGGATAAAGTTCTGCTTATAGGCGCCGGAGTCACACTCCATGAGGCTCTCAAAGCCGCACAAGAATTGAAAGCTAAACATAAGATTAATGTTCGAGTCATCGATCCCTTTACTATTAAACCTATCGATAAGGAGACCATCATTTCAAATGCCAAACAATGCGGCGATAAAGTGATTACAATTGAAGACCACTATCCAGAAGGAGGTATAGGAGAAGCCGTGGCATCAGCTCTCGCCCAGGAATCCATCAAAATTCAAATGCTGGCCGTCAGAGAGATTCCCCGATCGGGTCCTCCGGAAGCACTCATCGAGAAGTACAGAATCGGATCGAAAGCCATTGTAGAAGAAGTTCTTAAACTTAAGTAATTGGCGTCTGTTATCAAAAGTTTTATTTCAATATTATATTCTATGAAAATGTCTTCAATTTGTATCAATTTGTTTTTTAAAAGTTTATGTAACTTTTTTTGGTAGAATTTTTGGTAATTGTTTTAACATAAGGGTTAATTTAATTTAAAATATAAAACTTTACTTCTTTTGTTCTAAATTTTGATTTTTAGCAATTTGTTTAATAACAAATTAGTGTATGAAAAATAAATTAAATTTTATCATTAAAAAAATTTTTCATACTTTTTATCTTATTTATTATAAAAATTTTATATTATTTATTTACAAAATTAAAAATCTGCTACAATACAGTAGAATTTCTACTGTAGAAATGTAAATACAGAACTGTATAACTGAATAATACAGTACATACGGTATCACTGGTAGACTAATACTTTACAGTACTGTTGTACAAAAAATGTATTATGGTACTTATTGAATGTGTAATATTGTAATAATTAGTACCGGTATATTGATAAGCCAAATTGCTATGGGATATTTTGTTAAGTCCTTTGATTAGTTAACTTACCAAATACCGGTAGTCCTTTTTGCTAGCTTAGAATCTAGAATTGAATATACTTTTTTCACCAGAATACTGTAGAATCTACAGTGTACGGTAAAACTTTATTTATATTTTCATAGACACATAATTGTAAATAGAGTCTCAATTTATTTAATATTAAAAATGTTTTCAATAGCAATTTGAGAGTAAATACAATGAAATAAAAACAAACATTTATTGGAAACAAAAGCATTTGAAAAGTTAATAAGGAACTAAAATTTGGGTTAAAATTGAGACAAATGTAAATCCGGTATATAATTGTTTTATAAAATAAAATTTGTTGATAAAAGCGATTCGGCGAGACGGCGATAAGAATTTTGAATCATTCAACTCAAGAGCAAACACTAAAATTAAATAATTGTCTCGAAAATGGTTGACAAATATAATTGATTTAAACGACGTGTTTGTTAATCGTCGCGGCGCTGGTAGAAGAGGACATACGCCGCTTTGGACACCACGTTCTCCTCGGAGGCCACACTCACGTTCGAGTCGTCGAAGTAATGCCAGCTTCCCGTGTGATAGTTCTTGGCGTACGCCGTGTAATGGCCGCCTCCCAGCCCACCGTAATGGTTGGCCACCGCTATTAAATCATATGTTTTTGATTCATTGTTGGGGTTATTGAGTAAGTATTCGCCCATATCTAAGGACTGGAGGGGAAAGTCGACCTAAAAGATGTAGGAGTATGGGTATGTTAATTGAATTGAAAATATCAAGTTGACTGTTGGATATGAAATATCTTACCAGGATATCCAGTTTGTCGCGATAAACCCTCGAGTAGGAGAACCTCTTCAAGTGTATGATCAGAATCTTTGGGAGAGACCTATGATTGGGAGATAATTATGTGAACGACATGTTTGGCACAGGAGTGGAGTACAACGTACCACAAGTCGAACTTCTTGGACGCCATTTGATGTTTCTTGCATTTGGGACAATACCAGGGGTCGTCTGCACCCAAACGCTCAGTCGTCGTGAACTGAGAGATGCATTCAGACAGAGGTAAACATGTTTTGGTAGTGGAGGCGCTTTGCTTCTGGAGCGGCAGTTTGAAGGGATTCTCCACTTCAGACTCGTTGTAATACTTAGTCTTGACTCTTGTGGGCAGATCTACGGCTAAAAAGCTTCTGTTACTCAATTCAAATGGTTTTGTTCTCTCGAGTCGCTCGATATCTAGCGATCCATAGGAGTTGACGAAAGTGAGGGCAAACCTATCGGTGCGCTCGCACTCAGCGACGCCCTCATCCGAGTCGGACTCCTCCTCAGACAACGGGATTTTCATGAATCGCCGCAATTGTTGGGTCACCGACTCGTATAGAGTGTCATAATTAGAGTCACTAACGCTTATAATGAATGGACGGCCAAACAGAGCAGTTGTTTCGTCGGCTTTCACTTCACGCAGATATACGGCAACTGATGAACTGTTCTCAAGAACCTCGTAGACCACAATCTCATCCATTTGTGTCGAATACGACTCTTCACGACCAAAGATCTTATGGAAGCGATGGTTGTAGACGTCGGTCACAACAAGACGCTCTGAATCAACCATATGTTTGAGGACTGAACTCTCATTGACAGCCTTCGCCACAGCGTTACAGATGTCAGCAATGGTTCCGTACTTTGGGATATTAAGTCTTGTAATTTGGATGGCTTTCAACTGTTCCTGAGTTTCGTTATTGTTGTCTATTTGTTGATTCGGTGTTAATGTCGGCACAAATGTCACATCAATCTGACGCTCACGCTATACACCAATCAATAGATGTCTTAATAATGACATACAGTAATAGAATAGTGTATATATGGGACATACCTTGACAGGCAGGGGTAGACTCAGGTAGCAGAACGGGTCAAACGTAACGCTCACAAGATTACAATCCGGACAGACGAGTGTCGACTTGAGTAGAGCGTGAAATGTGTCCACAATTATGCTGTCATTCCTCTTCTTGTAATTATCCCATGACTCAGAGGCCATCACTTCATCAGGTCTTAGATCGACGTCAGTCTTCACTTCGATGTATGGCTTCTGTTTGACTCGATTGAGGTCCTCGTGAAGTCCGTCCAACAGGAAAGCCATCAACTCTTGACAGTCTTGTTGAGAGAACCCAGAGAACTGAGGGGCGAAGCGGCCGACAGAGAGCTTGAACTCTCTCGGGGCCAGACATGTGTGGGATCCGCTCCACATGGCTTTGATGAGATCGGCGTAACTCTTAGCAATCTCTCCTCTCATTCCCAAAGGGTTATCGATATTCAACTCTTGCCAGTACTGGTCGCTCACCAGAAACTCAGTCAATGGTTGAGTGTTGGACAGGCATTGGAGCGCACTGTTCATGAAACAGGTGTTCCCTAAGTTCATGAGTCCACACAAACCGGGAACACATTTCGATGAACGGGTGGCTAT